TTGTGATACAATTTCACAGTATTACTGTTTTTATTTTTGATCAAATGAATTCAGCCTTAATAAGCATAAGTGACCTCTTTCAAAGCCATAAAAAAATCTTTCCAATCACAAAATTTTAACTGGTTATGTTATGTTATGTTTTATGTTCTGTTCTGTTCTGTTCTGTTCTGTTCTGTTCTGTTCTGTTATGTTATGTTATGTTATGTTATGTTATGTGTTGTTATTTTATTTACATTAAAAAGTAATATCAAAGTGAATGAAATTAAAAAGTACTAATTCCACAAAAAAAAAAAACTAAATTTATTGATGCTGGTTAACAAACAACCATCTCTGTGTGGGATGAGCTGGGCAGCCTCGTCCAGCCCGGGGACATCATCCGCCTTACGAGAGGGTACGGACCTCCTCCTGTCTGTCTGTGTAGTTCTTTTAGACCTTAGACGCTTTAAAACCCGTGTGGCTATTGATGGTCTAAATATGCGTAGCATCCTGTTAGACAGCATCGATAACTAGTGTAAGTGGTAACCGTGTACAGCGGATAAATGGATATGAATTAAGGCTTATGAACATGGTGCGTTGTGTACAGATGTTTGTTTTAACTTGGAAATGTTTGTCTGGCTAGGTATGCGTCAATCTGGAAGGGGTGCCTTACACTGTACACTGGAAGAGGAGGAGACTTACAGAAAATAGGAGAGTGAGTATTAAATCTTGCCTCACAATATATAAAGTGCAATATAATCATGTTGTGGTTTATCAGCATCGGGCAATAACCATGTCCACTTGACAGAAACCGGAATGGTAATTAACCCTTGTGTCGGTTCCAGAATCTAGTGACGGATGAATCATTGAGTAGATCATCTGGGGTTTTCCATGGTCATGGGAACCCTTACATCTCAGTTTTAATATTCTTGCTTTACAAGTCTGGAAAATTCATGGTAATGTCAATAGCATGGGTGTCCAGTCTTGTTCTTGGAGTATCACTTTCCTGTTTAGTTTCAACCCAATTTAAAGCCTTAAAAGCCTGCATGAAAGTGGCCCTCCATGAGCATAATTAGACACCCCTGGTCTGTAGTGAGATTAAATGTTTGAGTAAAGCATAAAATCCAAATTTATGTTAGTTCTGATCATGAACGTGGCAGATGTACTAGGCAAAAGGTGTGGGAGCACTGGTAATTTCAGCCATGGTCTCATTGATCATCACGAAATTCTCTCTCCACAAACACACACACACACACACACACACACACGTGTTTTTGTTATATGAAAACCTAGCCCTCAATCACTAAGTGTTTCTGTAGCTCAAACGGGAGAGCACGGCACCAGCAATGCCAAGGTCATGTTTGGTTCTCTGGGAATGCATGAACTGGTAACATGTACACCTTGAATGCAAGTCACTTGGAATAAAAACTTCTACCAAAGGCATACATGTAAATGCAAAGTCATTAAAAGCATATTTTATAATGTATTGTCTTTCACAGGTTCTGTATGGTGTATTCTGAGGTTCCTAATTTCAGTGAACCAAATCCAGAGCTGCTAGCACAAGCTATCCAGCAGAACAAGACGGTGAGTGCAGTCTTCCTGGTTATGCAAAATGGCACCTCAGTGTGATGCCTCAATGAGTATACTTCCTTTCAGTTATTTGCAAGCTTAAATTTGCTTGTTATTATGGAAAAACATGGCTTGTTTTGCATTCTACCTCATTTCAAAGTCTTTGTTTAGAACAGATAAATTGGAATGTAGAAGTAATTTATGCAGAAGCAAACATTTGGTTTGCTGCTGATGCACATTCAAATACTGAGCCATTAAACTGCATAACAGGAGGTGCTGGTTTATGACTAAAGTCAACAATGGTGTCTTATCTCTCATCCTCTCAATAGGGTAAAGAACAGCGGGGAAATTCTCCACCAAATCAAAATGCAGGTACTCCTGCGCAGACAGGTAAGCAAATATGGCTAGTGCTTCTCACAGTCTGTCGTACTAAGGTAACCAATGCTGATTTAGTAGTGGTGCAGTTGGAATCTGATCTGCTAGCAAAGGTTGCCGGTTCAATCTCAGAAATTTGATTTACTGCGATCCCGCTCCTGTTTGTACCTACTGTTGGCATACTGTAAGTTGCTTTTGATAAATGTCTGCTTAATGATGCAACTAGAGTAACCGCTGTAACGCCTATTACAGTGTCTGTTATGTTAAGTCAGTCACATTTCCTTTAACTATTTGTCCAACAGGAAATGGTACTGTGCCAGTATTTCCCAATAACAGTGCTGCACCTGTGCCTCGGGATCCCAATTTTGGGGCTCCAGGAAGACCAAATGGGCGTGTTCCAGGCAATGGACCACCCCCAGTAACTGCAGGGGGACCCCCTGCTCCACCCAAACCCACAGTTACCATTAGCAATGGCAGGGACCCAAGAAGGGCTTCAAAGAGATGAGACTGCAAAACCATTTCCATGTTCCCACTCCTCCCTAAAATCCCTCCACAAACCATACATGCAATACGCAAAACAATACTGCCAATCAAGAGATACGAGGTTCAGCTACTGTTTTACCACCTGTGCTTTTTGCTTTGTCATTCGCCAATATTTGCGTAGTATGATTTTATCATGAGAGGTTAGAATTCAAATTGTTAGTTAATGGTTGGCACACACTTTGCCCATTGAGTGCTGGTTCAGTGGCCCACTGTTTATTTCCTTTCCCTAAATGTGTTGAACTATACACCCTACTTGAACACTCAATGCACTTTCTTCTGTTAATTTATAGTGAATGCATTGTCATGTGATTCAGGAATGATTAACTGCTGTTGCAAATTGGGGAGTGAACTTCAAAGTGACTGATTGATTATATGGGTTCCCCACCCCTTTGGCCAAAAAAATTTACCAGAAGTGACCGTGTGAAAGGAACGGTGATAGTTTGATTGAACGCTTAGGATTATTTAATTAGGAATAAATCAAGAACAAAATATTGGGACATTAATCCCTGTGCTTGTAATTGTTCTACTTGGTCTTTTCAGTGGCATTTACATTGAATGAGACTGTTGCCTTTCATAGAGTGCAATGTGACTACACTGAAATATTCTTATACTGTTATACGGACGTTTAATGTTACATCTGCAGCTACATTTATTTCAATTAGCCCAGTAGTTTTAATACACTTTAACATTTGCCGCATGAGTAAAGCTAATGCATCTAGGCAAAGTGTTGCTTGTGCACAGGGTGGAATGTTTAATGCTTCTGGTTTAAAAAAAAAAAAAGTTGGACCATGAGGTGACTTGAAATTTTTCATATTTTGTGTCTAGCACCCAACTTTTTTTTTCTGTTGGAAGAATGATGTCACAACTATATTCATTCGGTCTGCCAGGTAAAGTATGTTACTGGGTGTTTTTATATTTCCAGTGCCAATGTAGGACCCAGATCAATTAATTTCATTGAATATGGATTGTGCAATATGTGACCGTATTAAGATATGGTCTAATACGTAATTTAATAGTTAATATTTTAATAGCATTGTTTTCATTTAGATATTTTTTTGTTTTGCCAGCTCATGTGATGTGCTTAGTGAGCAGCACTAAAATATGAGCCAGGGGTTTATTGTTAAGAAAAACACTGGATTAACTGTAAAATGCACTCCATTTTTGTGTTGGTGGCACGGTGAGTTTCTTTATGATTGTCTTAATTTACTTTGATTCATGCTTGTGAAAATGACCCAAGCATGTTCTACATTTTGTGTGTGTTTTTGGAACATCCTGAACTTTTAAAGAGGATTACCGTCAGCGCATTACAGCATTGATATCTGATTACAGGCTATACAATTTTGATGTATAGAGTTGTGATCATCTATGGCAGGGATCCTCAAATCTGGCCCAAGAGATCCACTTTCCTGCAGAGTTTAGCTCTAACCCTAATCAAACACACCTGAGCAAGCTAATCAATGTCTTCAGGATCATTAGAAAATCACAGGTAGGTGAGTTTGATCAGGGTTGGCAGCGCATTAGCCCTCCAGGGCAAGATTTGAGGAACCCTGTTATGGGAAGCTATATCATTATCATATAAAACTGGTCACGGGCCACGGCAATCAACTGCCATGAAGTCAAAATTGTGGCTTCAGTAATAGTTTTGCGGCTGCTTAGTGTCCCATTCTTATTTTAATCTGTACCAAATGTGGATTGCCTGAATTCAGAGGAAGTGTATGTAATTAGTGTTTACTGTCCCCAAGACTTTATTTTCTGTGCCATCTAGACCGTCTATATCATTATCATATAAAACTGGTCACGGGCCACGGCAATCAACCGCCATGAAGTCAAAATTGTGGCTTCAGTAATAGTTTTGCGGCTGCTTAGTGTCCCATTCTTATTTTAATCTGTACCAAATGTGGATTGTCTGAATTCAGAGGAAGTGTATGTAATTAGTGTTTACTGTCCCCAAGACTTTATTTTCTGTGCCATCTAGACCGGTTTTGATTTTTGACAACACTGGTGCAGCAAGTGCAATGTTTACAGGTGAGAGAAAAAAAACAGATGGAATCTTATGTTTAAAGCACCACATCACATTTAATTTGACCGTCTTTGTGCATAAGACTGTCTCTGTTTGACAGTATATTTCCCTTCCAGATGGAAGCATAACTGTAAGGTCAGGAATCCCATGCTTAGGTTTTATAATCCCATCAGTCAAGCACAAACTTGTGTGAATGTTTTGAAAACATGTTTATCGGAATTCTTGTTCCTCTGAAAAATATCACTTAAGTCAATCTTTAGCAGCTTGTGAAATTAGAGTTCCTGTTGTTGTCTGTACTTGCTAGCCCTGATATTCTTCCAATGCATTTTTGTAATAGTATGTGTAATCTAGTATGTGAGCAATAGGAAAGGCTTCCTCCCTCAAGCACTAAATCACCTAACTGTCCCAGATCTGACATCCCTAACTCTCCAAATGAGATCATCGAGGGGTAGTCAAACTGCCCTGGCCTAATTACCCTTTGTATAATTATATACACCTATGAGCAGAACATCATGTGATGAATAAGTACGGTTAATGAACCCATATTATGGCATTAAAACCTTTACATTCATACACAGAACTGCTTCAAATGCAGGAATTAAAAATATATCCATGTTACATGTTAACATATAAGGCACTCTATATAATATAGTTACTCCAAGCATGACTGTGCTTGTCCTATTTGAGCAAAACTTAATTATACCCAGAATGTGGGCTTTTTTCATCAACTTAAACTGACATAAAACATTAGATAAAAAGCATCATTAATCAGGCGTTTCAGGCTTTTGAGTTAATTAAAAGTTGAAATTCACATTGTAACCAAATGAATACTATTAATGAAAATTCTGTCATTTACTTACCCTCATGTCATTCCATACTTGCATTACTTTCTTCTGTAGAACTCTAAAGGAGATATTTGGAAAAATGTCCCAGTGTTTTTGTCTACACAATTTTTGGTTTGTTTACACAGTTTATGGTTACCACTGTTCCTAAAATTATTTTTTTGTGTTCTACAGAAGGACAATAAGACAGATAGGAGTTGGAGTGACATGAGGGCGAGTAAATAATGAAAGATTTGTCATTTTCGGCTGAAATATACCTTTAAGCACTGTTTTTGTAAACAAACAGGCAAGTTGTTGATGGCTCAATCAATGCCCTCTAATTAACCATTGATTGGTCTGCAATTTAGCACAGAAGTGAAAGCTTTTGGCTTGTTCACATGTGCACACGCTGCAGCTCTTTCCAGAACTCTCCAATGCCATTTGAGAGTGCTCCCTCTGCCAGTCTCTGGCACTCACGTGGGGTAAAGCCCACCAGGGCCGTACCCTTGATGGCCACACCATGGTGTCTAGCCAGTTCTGCTACTCGTGCTGTGATTAGTGAGGCTGGAGCATGGCAGAAGTTTTGCCCTCCAATGGTAAAGCTTGGCCATTTTTCCTCACCATAAGATAAAGACGGAGGACCACCTTGAAAACTCTCTACATTACAAGCGATCTCCACAGCACCTGCATGTGGTAGAGCCATGACCTGAACTCCAGGGATACCGCTAGGACTGGATTCACGGATTGCTGAAGCCACAATTCGTCCCACGGCCAGATCCTGGGTATCGATGGTCACGTTACAATTCATGACATAGGGGCTGGCTCCAACACCTGCAGATTAGATAACTGTTATTTGTTTTATTTGAGGGTTCAAATAGTAATTCAAATAATTGAAACACTCTCTTAAAGGGATAGCTCACTCAAAAATGTCATCATTTACAACCCTCATGTCGTGCCAAAACCAAAAAACCCCAATAAGGTCAAAAAGGCCTGAATTAAACCTGTTAATAAAAAAAGCTATCATATTTCTTTACAAAACACATATTGCAAACTATTCATGTATACCCAAATATAAAAAAAAATAGTCCAATCACTTGGAATTTAGCTATTAAATAGTATTATTTTGTTAAGTAGTTTTTTTTTTTTTTTTTTTAAGAAATTATGCTGATAGTTAAAACAAAAGCATATACTATCCATTAAAAACTTGTCCCATTCTTGGAGAAAATACATTAGATTATTACTTCTGTTGTGGTCTGTTAATTTATTGTGATGCAAAATCTACCTTGATGTTTCATTTATGTTCTAAATTCCGGAGGGTGAACAAAGGCCTCCTGTAGCGAATCGATGCGTTTTTGTAAGAAAAATATTCATATTCAAAACGTAATAATCACTTTAATGTAGCTTGCACCAACAGTTGTACATGGAAGCAGCTCTGGGAGGATGACGTAAGATGTCGGCGTTGCGCATGGGCCGGCGAGTCTCGTGAAAGCCAACGTTTGTTTACAGGAGCAAAGTTTCCTTACTTTAGCAAAGGAAAACCAATCTCCTCTTGGCTTATATCGAAATCCTCGTTTTGTACTTCTAATTCGTGACCGTTGTTTTGTTTTGATCTCTCCCCTGCGCTTCCGCGTTCGTCAGTTCTGAGCGGCACATGCGCAACGCCGACGTCCTACCTCATTCGCCCGGAGCTGCTTCTGTGTACAACAGTGAGTGCAAGCTAGATTAAATTGATTATTACATTTTAAATATGGTTATTTTTCTTACAAAAACACATCGATTTGCTACGGGAGGCCTTTGTTCACCCCCCGGAACCGTGAGGCACTTTTTATTATGGATGGATGCACTTTATTTCACTTCTTTTGAACTGATGAACTGCAACACCCACTGACTGCCATTAAACAGCTTGGAAGATCAAGTCAATTTTTATGTAACTCCGACTGGATTCGTCATATACGATCATATACACCTAGGATACCTTGAGGGTGAGTAATTCATTGGCTAATTTTCATTCTTGGGTGAACTAACCCTTTAAAAAAAAGTTACCTGTAACACCATATTTCCTTGTGGGCTGTGGTCCTACATCTGGCTGGATGGTTGACATATCCAAGACCTTTTTGAACCAGCCAATCTCCTTTCTCCTCTTAGCCAGACCTCGACGCTGAGGAGAATCAGCCCAGCCAAACAAAAAGACACTGGTACCTGTGACTCGTTCCGTTAGAGCCGTGGCTAATGCTACACAAAGAAAGAAAACAGCAGTGCTTAAACTTTAAGGTACATATAATAAAAATTACTTGACATATTCACACTGACACGAATCTAAATTCTAAAAATAATAATAATGGGTCCCTATCAATAATGCAATGTTGACCCCAAAATAACTAATGATGTTTGTGCTGTTTTTTTCTATTTTATGTATACTTTAAAACTACATTGTAACTGTTTTTATACTTTGCAACCTGGAGATGCATTTAAATGTCTTGTTTGCATGCATGGCCACATACCCTGGGCCAATTTTCCACAATCCTCAAGGCCCACCTCCTCCCCCAGTGGATAGAGAGGCACCAGATCCACTGCACCCATGCATGGGTGGATGCCCTCATGGACATTCATGTCAATCAGAGAGCATGCGCGCTCACAAGCCGACAGTACAGCCTCCCCTAAAATGGACGACAATAAAGAATGGCCTCTTTTGTACAATTAGCTACAAAGCAATTGTTATCGCAACTGGACATTTATTCAAACGTCTGGAAGGACGAGCAGGCAACTCACTTATTAGGTCAATGCTTGCAACAATAGTGATGACAGAGCGGTTGTAGTCAACATCATTGAAGATGTTTAGCACTGTGATGCCTTCACGCTTTTTTCCTTATGAAGGACAGATCCAGACAGTTTTGACACAACTCGTGTCCCAATGACTTCAGTTTAATAACCATTTTGAATTCATCTGAAAGTAATTAAAGGCACATTTTCTTCCGTCTCACCGTGTGTGTCAGTGATGGCTGATCTAGCCACTGTCTCCACCAGGTCTCTTCTCCGAGCTTCTGAGATGTTCAGGAGACATGCAACCAGCCGTCGACCCAGAGCAGAGCAGGACATCCCTCAAGAAAGCAGAAATACTTTACACCTTTACTGGCCCACAGACCCCAACCCAGGGACGCTACATTTTCTGTAACACTTTATAACCTTACTTAACAACATTGACTAATGCTTAACAGATAAAGTGGGGGATTTTTAAATTAGTTGACAGAAATGTCATGAGCATTTAAATTCTATTTGTTTTACTAATCTTCACGACGAAATTAACTTTCATGTTTGAAGTGTTGTGTAAGCTGATAAACGCTGGACAACACTATATTGATCAGTTTCTGTCTAACAGTCCAAAGTTTAGCATGCTCGTAGCTACTACAAAGAGGCAGAATAGATAATTTACAGATATTTTTCCTAACTGACTGACAAACAAACTTCGTACTTATTTTTCATGGACAATATGTTACTTGAAGGCGTTAAACTCCAGAGCAGCTCACATGCTCTTGCTCAGTCCCAGCGGTTTCCGCTAGCGCTAGCAATGAACGAATCGTTGAGTCGAAACTGTTCAATAAATCAGTTGAATCGTTTCACAAAACCGGTCTGAACGGAAAACTATGAATAAATAAAACGCACGCAAACAAATCTGTTATGAATATAATTATATTTTAACGTATCTAACAAAGAGATAATAAAATGAATTTAAGTATAATGTTTGGGTCCAAAGGGACTTTTTATTAGGGTTTTATTAGCTAAACAATGGCTGCAGCAAATTGACACATAAAGCATAATAAATAACTAATAAAGCAGTGCCTGTAGAACATTAGTGCCTGTAATATTTCTCGCCAGAATCAGGGACAGTATGATGTAAATCGCTGAATCCGTTTCTGAACCGATTCTTTGACGCGAATTGTTCAAAAGAACCGATCGAACCGACAAGAGTCAGGATTCCTGTCAAGATTCCACCTCCTGAAGTTTAAAAAGAATATGACTTTTGGGACAGTATATTAAATATAGTTGTGCCGCATTAATCACTACAGTGTTCTAGTCAAGCAGTCAATCCAAATGCGTTATGTATCGGCGCTGCCGCTGTTGACGAACGCGTCTGGACTCCGCGCATGCGCATCGTTGTCACAGTTTGACGCTCCAGTAAATGCCACTCGGCGGCGTTTGATATCAACAAATTATACGCCATACGTATTTCATTATCCTGAACTATTTTACGCTTCAAGTTTAACGGCTGAATGGGCACCGGATTAGTTCGGATCATGCGGCGTTATTCTTTGCTCTGGTTTTGCAGTGATGCTTTCAGTCTTAACGCTGCAGGTCGCGCAGTCGCCGCTACATAATCCTTTTGCTTATGGGAAGTATCCGATCAGTTGTGGCTTTTTTATCGCTAGCTGCTGTAGCGAGGAAGATGACCGCCGCGGCGGGGCTGTGCGGGCCCGGGACCTCTGCTGCTGCGCCCGCGCTGCGCCGCCTGACTTCAGTCCCCGGTTACGATCAAAACCGCCTAAATGATGTTCTGCTCCTAAGACCTGTCACGGAAACACAGAGACGATGCGACAACGAAACAGAGGACCTGCATCAAGGAAACGATCACGTAGTCTTCTTTCCTGGAGACATTCAGGTTGGTGCATGCATGTCTTCAGTAGCACTGACTGCATGCCCTGCTTTAAATGGCCTTTTAATCAATAATTATTAGGAAAGAGCTCAACATAGTCTTTTTTTTTTTACAAACTAGCAATAGGCATATTTTGGATCAAATCAAAAACTGTGTAAACAATATCTAATTCCTGTGTACTAAACTGTGGACCCCCTGTAAAACACCTCTTTGATTATTCACTGAAGTCATTTGATACAGTTTAGCTTCTGTTGCGACTGGGTTGGATCTCTGAATGTAGTTTTTCTTTAGACATTGAAAACAGGCCCAGGACACATTCTGCAGAAGTCTGTTTAGTTATCGCACATATGCCAGGTTTCTGAGGATTTCTGAATTCCTTTAGACTTGGGAGTGATGCTCATATTTTATTGTTCACATATCACATGCACATTATTTTCCAAGTTTATATTCTGGTTAAGCCTTAATTTTGAGAAATGAAAACGTAAAAAATGGTTGGTAATGTTTCTGAGGGGGGAAAAAAGGTATTTTATGCTCACCAAGACTGTATTTACAAAAAAATACAGTAATAACAGTAACATTGCAAAATATAATTACAATTTAAAATAATTGTTTTCTATATTAATATATTTTAAAATGTAAGTTATTACTGTGGTGGCAAAGCTTAATTTTCAGCTTAAATTTCATCATATGTCTGATTAAAAGGAACTTTTTTTTTTTTTAGATAAATGAAAAGACATGCACATTTAGTCCTGCTATTTTCTTCGAGGAGAATGTTAGTAAAACCTTAAATATACCTGAATTGTGTAAACACAAATTTTGGAATTTAAAATGGTGCGTTCATAGAAATTGATAGATTTTCAGAAGTCGTGGAAATTACTATAGTGAATAAAATTTTGTCATTATGTCCAGGTGCATCTGTACAATTTTAATCAGTGAGAAATGGCTCTCAATTCTCAGAAAATGCGATCTAAAAAGAAAAAAAAACAGCAATTACGAAAAGTCAAATTCCTTGGTACAGTGAGTTTGTTTCATATATATAGTATACAGTATATATATGCTAGGACTAAGTTTGTTAAACTTGACTATTCATCCCCTTTTCATATGCAACTTTCTCATTCTCATCCACCATGCAGAACTTTCAGCAGGAAATGGCTCTCCAGCCTGATGCTGCCCCATGGCAGTCCTGGAGTCTGGAGCGTGTCACCCTCACCCTGAGCCAACGCTTCCCTGGTTGCCATATCTGGGTCATCCGTGCATCCCGAATGTACCTACACAAGTTCAGCTGCTATCAGAACTTTGTAGAGAGCAACCTATTTGGAGCACCAGAACACACTCCAGACTACGGAGCCGTTCGCCACTGAATTGTGTAAACACAAATTTTGGAATTTAAAATGGTGCGTTCATAGAAATTGATAGATTTTCAGAAGTCGTGGAAATTACTATAGTGAATAAAATTTTGTCATTATGTCCAGGTGCATCTGTACAATTTTAATCAGTGAGAAATGGCTCTCATGTAAAATCATCACCTCCCTTATATTCAAAGGGCTCTCATTTCCCACAGCATAGAAAAAACCAAGAGAAATCTGAAAGTGCTTATTAATAATACATTTAATTTATGTTGTTAAATTAAAAAGCATGGATTTTTGTTCAAGTATGTATCCGTTATTACGTATGGATACTCTTGAATGAAAAAAAAAACGTATATTTTCTTTAGGAGTCCTGCTTAAGCATATAGTCTTACATCAGTGGATTTATCAGATGTTCATGTTCTATATTTGGTGTTTATTTGATTTGATAATCAAATTTAAAAAATCTAAGGATCTTCCATTAGAATCAAATGTACAGAATATATTTTTGGTCAGATGGAAAAAAAAAAACAATTTAAAATATTTTATTTACTAACTTGTAGTGAAATGTTTTATTGACTGCTTGATGGTTAGCATCTAAAACGATTCCAGTATTGAATCTCAGAAGACTAGGTGGTGCACTTTATTTGGATTGTTCTCTTGAATACATTGTATTACATGAATGTTGATTTTGCAATATCCTCAATGTAATGCGATGAATGTACTTCCTGCTTCATAGTCATTCCAGGCTGATGTAACTCAATAAAAATGTTGAAATGTTTGAGTGATCTGTTTAATTAGAAGAAATAATTGTATATATTTTTAAATATTAATTTAAATAATGCAATTCAAGTTGACATGAGATTAAGGAAAAGGTACAACATTAAATGCACACACACACACACACACATATATATTAGTGCTGTCAAACGATTAATTGCATCCAAAATAACATTTTTTGTTTACATAATATATGTATGTGTACTGTGTATATTTATTATGTATATATAAATACACACACATGCACGTATATCAGAAAATTTTTATTTTTATATATATTCATATAAATTATATGAATATAATTATACATACATATTTTCAAAATATATACTATATGTGTGTGTATTTATATATACTTAAATATACACAGAACACATGCATTATGCAAACAAAAACTTTTATTTTGGATGTGAATAATCATTTGACAGCACTAATATACATATATATATGTGTGTGCGTGTGTGAGATTGATTAGTTTAAAAAGCATAAAAATACTCTATCCTACTCTTTATCCTTGGATATAGATAGATAAATACTCTATATCCTTGAACTTAGTGAAAGGCAGTTTGCTTAACATTTTTATTATTATTATTAGCATGGAAAATTAGTCAGATGACGCATTTCAGAAGTATAAGTATTTATTCAAGTCTGACATGTCAGAGCTAGATTTTATTTACTAACTTGTAGTGAAATGTTTTATTGACTGCTTGATGGTTAGCATCTAAAACGATTCCAGTATTGAATCTCAGAAGACTAGGTGGCGCACTTTATTTGGATTGTTCTCTTGAATACATTGTATTACATGAACGTTGATTTTGCAATATCCTCAATGTAATGCGATGAATGTACTTCCTGCTTCATAGTCATTCCAGGCTGATGTAACTCAATAAAAATGTTTAAATGTTTGAGTGATCTGTTTAATTAGAAGAAATAATTGTATATATTTTTAAATATTAATTTAAATAATGCAATTCAAGTTGACATGAGATTAAGGAAAAGGTACAACATTAGATGCACACACACACACACACACACACACACACATATATATATGTATATTAGTGCTGTCAAACGATTAATTGCATCCAAAATAACATTTTTTGTTTACATAATATATGTATGTGTACTGTGTATATTTATTATGTATATATAAATACACACACATGCACGTATATCAGAAAATTTTTATTTTTATATATATTCATATAAATTATATGAATATAATTATACATACATATTTTCAAAATATATACTATATGTGTGTGTATTTATATATACTTAAATATACACAGAACACATGCATTATGCAAACAAAAACTTTTATTTTGGATGTGAATAATCATTTGACAGCACTAATATACATATATATATGTGTGTGCGTGTGTGAGATTGATTAGTTTAAAAAGCATAAAAATACTCTATCCTACTCTTTATCCTTGGATATAGATAGATAAATACTCTATATCCTTGAACTTAGTGAAAGGCAGTTTGCTTAACATTTTTATTATTATTATTAGCATGGAAAATTAGTCAGATGACGCATTTCAGAAGTATAAGTATTTATTCAAGTCTGACATGTCAGAGCTAGGAAATTTTAAATAAATCAATGGCGTTGTATGAGGGATGTTGTCTTTAAAAACAAAATTGAAAATGTTTGTTATGAGTCATAAATCAACAACATACATAATATATTAAGGGTACATCCTTTACAACTCTAGACTGTCAATGGCTTTATTAGAATTTGAGCATCATTTATTCTAGCACATATAACTCAAAATACAGTTTTCATCATGAAATGAAGTATCTTCAATTATCAGTTTTCACTAATCCTGCCTAAGATAGAAAGAGAATCGAGAAAGTTTATCCCTTAAGTGTCCTTACAAAGTTTGTCACAAGCTTTCTGCAAATGCCACAGTGACTGCTCAGAAATGCTCTCCAAAGCCTGGTCTATTCTCTATTGAATTCCAGCTTCAAATACCTCACGGCCCTTAAACATTATTGAGGCTGTTTCCCAGGCAAGGAATAGATTCAAGTTTTCCTTTAAGATGACAGCATACAGTGAGCACACGACCGTGACAAGAGCCTCTCGTCTTAGGAGACAATAGCCCTATTATGATTGCAGACTGGTGACATCTCTGGGAAACCGTAAGGCCCTGAGCACACAAACACACATGAGCTCTTCACACCTCTTTAAACAGAGAACAATAACCGAAGGGCACAACCTTAAGACTGAATTCTGCAATACTAACATTTCCAGTTCTAACAGCCACTCAACAAAATAGTACACCAATAAAGCTTAAGCTGATCTAGTTGTATTTGCTGCATTACTACACACTTTCTGATGTGCAGACGACTTTCCACCACAATATTCTAACATTCATTTGCCTTCATTCCAGAATTCACACCCTGTACTTTCATCACAGCCAAACATACTTCACCATCCGAACATAACCATATAAATTTGACAATAACAGCCATCTTTGATAACCCATCTTTTCATGCCCTATTTAATCCAAGACCATAAATATAACTTAAAACTGTTCTCCTTTCTAAATCCCACTGAATACATATACATCTCCATGACCAAAAGACATAGAAATGATTAAGTTAAATACAACAGGCCATCAGTTTAAAGGGTCTACCAGTATCTCAATTAAAACAGGATAAACATTAACAATAATATAGCCACAGAAATGTGCTGCACCGGTATTACAGAAGATCAAGTCGGGTTGTTCGGCTCAAGCATATAAAAAATGCACACAAAGGCACTCGAGAAATATACACTGGTAAACTGTGCAGTTACAGCTAACCCTGAGAACAAGACTCGGAATGAACGAAGACTGAAACCTCCATCAGTTAACAGCATTAGCTTAGAAACACCTGTACAAAAAAAGGTAACAAAACCCCTGAGTTACCTCAGATTGGTGCATAGATAAAAACTGTCATTTCAAGATTATGTATATCATAGACCATAACAGGCATTGAGATACTAGGCGCCTGCCATGGGGAAATGCTAGAATGTTGCTTAATAGTTTATTTTACAATAAATTGGCAATAAAAAAGGAAATATTTAAAACAAAAATAATTTTAAAACCGATACAGTTGATTTACTAAATTTAAAGTGGTTAAAAATATTTTCCCTTATTTCAGTGACACAAACACATATAATAGAAGGTTTAAGTGCTTTCCTGCATTCCTTTAGTCATTATCTAAGAGGAAGATCTGTGACCAATACAAACACATATTTGTGTTATCCAGGGTGTGTTGTGCGTGTTTAAGTTGAGTCACATTTTTATGGAGCCCACTAATGTGTCAATGCCACAAGAAAGAAGAGAAATGTAAGACAAAACACACAGCCATTCACCGAGAGCATTCCTGCACTGAACCTTTCTAACAGACCATCGCAATAGGTGTTTTTGAATTAACAGGGTCTAATCATACAAACTCTTTCTGATGTTGAGACACAAAGAGCAAAGAGACTCTTTAGTGTGCTCAGACACTCTCATCCTTCATTAAAGCAGAATTAAAGCTCTCGAGCGTGTCTTTTTCAAAGTGCAGTAATGGAAATAGTGTTGAGAATAACATGGGCTGAGATCAGCAGAAAATTAAATCGATACTGAATGGCAATTAAAATATTCAAATGAATCATTTCAAATCCAAAGATGGCAGGAAAAGGCATCTTGAGACAGGACAGCAACATAGATATTTAGATTCTCACTATTATAATATTAACATTACACTAGATTGGGCCCTTTTGTAAAATAAAATCATCTTTGGTTGGCCAAAGGATATTGAAAACGGCATTAGGACAGAAGCGTGTTTGCTGGTGCTGTGTGGGGGCCAACAAAACGGACCAAAAATGCTATTCAGTGCAAGTGCGTTTCCCTTTCGGATCAGCACAAGTGGTCTCCGTCGCCCGTGGCTGACATGCCCTCCTCAAAACGAAACCTCTTGGCGTGCGGTGAGTCCAGAATGTTCTCCTTGTCTTCGGGATCCTCGGGTGGCGCGGACCACTTCCCACCGAAACTCCTTTCCCGTGGAGTGCGTGGGGTCACGGGGATCGGATCAAAACCTGGACAATGGAGCCACAGCCAGGGATGGGTCATGCAATCGGCTGCACTGGGACGATCCCTGATAAAGCAGGGGAGAAATCACGTAAAGGACTTTGATATGTGGCTGAATGGAAAACATTCTGATACTATTATGCTGAAACAGTAAAGAGTAGTAATAAAACC